CGAAAAGAGTCTTCCTTAGGAAGATCTTTTCTATACGAAAAGAGTCTTCCTTAGGAAGATCTTTTCTATACGAAAAGAGTCTTCCTTAGGAAGATCTTTTCTATACGAAAAGAGTCTTCCTTAGGAAGATCTTTTCTATACGAAAAGAGTCTTCTTAGGAAGATCTTTTCTATACGAAAAGAGTCTTCCTTAGGAAGATCTTTTCTATACGAAAAGAGTCTTCCTTAGGAAGATCTTTTCTATACGAAAAGAGTCTTCCTTAGGAAGATCTTTTCTATACGAAAAGAGTCTTCCTTAGGAAGATCTTTTCTATACGAAAAGAGTCTTCCTTAGGAAGATCTTTTCTATACGAAAAGAGTCTTCCATAGGAAGATCTCTCTTTTCTACAGGAAGACCTTTCCTACAGGAAGACCTTCATTATTCTATAGGAAAAAAGTCTTCTTTAGGAAGATCTTTTCTGTACGATTTAGTATGATCTTTTAGTATAAGAACATCGTTTCTATATGGAAAGAGTCTTCCTTAGGAAGATCTCTTCTATATGAAAAGTGTCTCCCTCATGAAGATATTTTCTATACGAAAAGAGTCTTCTATTTGAAATCCCTTCTATTATATAAAATAATCCACCGCATTAAAGGAGTATAACCAGTTTCACATTTTATCTGTGCAGCAAAAACACTAACAATTTAAGCAAATATTTTGTTGCAAAAATGATAACAGACTCACATGCAACAAAGCATAAACACTTTTCACTTCATCTTTAAAATCCTTTACTGCTGCAGTATTAAAGTTTTTTCAGTTTTTTTTTTTCAGTCCTTGTTTTTTTAATTGTAGTAAAATTTTATTTTATAGTTTTAAAACGTGAGTGCATTATCATGGCAGAAACATGCATGAAAAACAGCAAATAAAAAAAATTAAGACAAAGAAAAACAAAATAGAAACATATACATACATGTGGCAGTATCTAAATGCTGCCACACACTTTTGTAACAACAATAAAAAAATACCACAATAGTTGATCCTTTTTAACACACTCTCTTGATTTTCTACGAAAAAAATATATATATAGAATCAACTAACTAGTACTGGTGTAGACTTTGTATTCTTTTTTGCTTGCAACATTTTGCGTGTTTAAGCAAAATATATGTAGATTTTTTTTGTGGCCTCCATAATAGAAGAAAAACAAAATCGACACAGGCAAACATTTAGTGGTAATATAATTCTAAGTTTTTTCTGTTTTGTTTGGCTTTTTGTACACACAAAGTATCCCATCACCCAGCAACAAAACACCTAATGCAACAAACTAGTATGAACATACTTACGGCTATAATGTCTTCATTATTGCAACGACAAAAATTGGTCCAAATGTAACAGAAATGAGAGGAAAAAACTATGACAAAAAAAAAATAACACACTGCTAAAATAGATTAACAAAAATGTGTGTAAGTAAAAGAGTGTGTCGGGTTTTTTCTCCAACTGACAAGTTATCGTTTTCATTGTGTGTTAAAAAACGAGGGTTGTTTGCTAATCAAACTTGCCACAATTTAAGGATTCACTTTTAAAACCGTCTTAAATTGTAAACTAAGCTAATTTAGTTAAAATTATAAAAACTTTAAGAATAAATTTCAAAATGTTGCAACTTGTTAAACCTGCCTCGTATGTTCATACGTATGTATGTTACTTAATAAACATTGTTGCATTTTCCAACAACATTTTCTATGTGTTGTCTTTTCTATAGTCTAGTTCTTTTTATTCCTCTATCTGCAAGTACCTACCAGCATTGCCTGCTTACGTGCATGTAGCATAGATAAACTTTAGTTAAATTTGCATTGCAAATGTGGCAACTAAAAACTGCATGTACAAGTGAGTAGTAGTAGTATACTATGTACTACATAGTATAGAAAACAATATCAACTTACTACACGTACTATCCACATAGAAAAAGAGCAAAGGCAGAGACACTTTTAAAAAGGAATACTATTATGAGATATGCATAAGTATGGTAGATATACAGAGAAGGATCAACTTTATTGTTCATAAAACATATAAGATTAGACACTATGGACCCAATTCTATATTTTTTTCGTCCAGAAAATATTTTCCCAAGGAAGTGTCTTTTTGTATAGAAACGATCTTCCTAAGAGAGACTCTTTTCATATAGAAAACATTTTTCCAAGGAAGACTCTTTTCATAGAGAAAAGATCTAACTTAAGAAAGACTCTTTTTATATCGAAAAGATTTTCGAAAGACTATTTTCGTATAGTAAAGATTCCTAAGATAGACTTTTTTCGTATAGAAATCATCTTCTAAAGAAAGACTCTTTTCATATAGAAAAGATCTTCCCTTGGAAGACTCTTCTCCCATAGAAAAGATCTTCTCTTGGAAAACTTTTTTCGTATAGAAAAGATTTTCATTTTGAAGACTTTTTTCGTATAGAAAAGATTTTCATTTTGAAGACTAGACTAGAAAAGATCTTGCTTTGGAAGAGACTTTTCATATAGAAAAGATCTTGCTTTGGAAGAGTCTTTTCGTATAGAAAAGATCTTGCTTTGGAAGACTCTTTTTGTATAGAAGAGATCTTCCTTTGGAAGACTCTTTTCATATAGAAAACATCTTCCTTTGGAAGACTCTTTTCATACAGAAAACATCTTCCTTTGGAAGTCTCTTTTCGCATAGAAAAGATCTTCCTTTGGAAGACTCTTTTCGGATAGAAAAGATCTTCCTTTTTAAGACTCTTTTCGTACAGAAGACTCTTCTCGTAGAAACGACCTTCCTTTGGAAGACTCTTTTCGTATAGAAAAGATCTTCCTTTGGAAGACTTTTTTCGTATAGAAGAGATCGTCCTTTAGAAGACTCTTTTCATATAGAAAAGAACTTCCTTTGGAAGACTCTTTTCGTATAGAAAAGGTCTTCCTTTGAAGACTCTTTTCGTATAGAAAAGATCTTCCTTTGGAAGACTCTTTTCGTATAGAAAAGATCTTCCTTTGGAAGACTCTTTTCGTATAGAAAAGATCTTCCTTTGGAAGACTCTTTTCGTATAGAAAAGATCTTCCTTTGGAAGACTCTTTTCGTATAGAAAAGATCTTCCTTTGGAAGACTCTTTTCGTATAGAAAAGATCTTCCTTTGGAAGACTCTTTTCGTATAGAAAAGATCTTCCTTTGGAAGACTCTTTTCGTATAGAAAAGATCTTCCTTTGGAAGACTCTTTTCGTATAGAAAAGATCTTCCTTTGGAAGACTCTTTTCGTATAGAAAAGATCTTCCTTTGGAAGACTCTTTTCGTATAGAAAAGATCTTCCTTTGGAAGACTCTTTTCGTATAGAAAAGATTTTCCTTTGGAAGACTCTTTTCGTATAGAAAAGATCTTCCTTTGGAAGACTCTTTTCGTATAGAAAAGATCTTCCTTTGGATGGCTCTTTTCGTATAGAAAAGATCTTCCTTTGGATGGCTCTTTTCGTATAGAAAAGATCTTCCTTTGGAAGACTCTTTTCGTATAGAAAAGATCTTCCTTTGGAAGACTCTTTTCGTATAGAAAAGATCTTCCTTTGGAAGACTCTTTTCGTATAGAAAAGATCTTCCTTTGGAAGACTCTTTTCGTATAGAAAAGATCTTCCTTTGGAAGACAATTTTCGTATAGAAAAGATCTTCGTTTTGGAAGACAATTTTCGTATAGAAAAGATCTTCGTTTTGGAAGACACGTTTCATATAGAAAAGATCTTCCTTTGCAAGACTCTTTTCGTATAGAAAAGATCTTGCTTTGGATGACTCTTTTTGTATAGAAAAGATCTTCCTTTGTAAGATATAGAAAAAATCTTGCTTTGAAAGACTCTTTTCGTATAGAAAAGATCTTGCTTTCGAAGACTCTTTTCGTATAGAAAAGATGTTGCTTTGGAAGACTCTTTTCGTATAGAAAAGATCTTCCTTGGGAAGTCTCTTTTCGTATAGAAAAGATCTTCCTTGGGAAGACTCTTTTCGTATAGAAAAGATCTTCCTTGGGAAGACTCTTTTCGTATAGAAAAGATCTTCCTTGGGAAGACTCTCTTCGTATAGAAAAGATCTTCCTTGGAAAGACTCTTTTCGTATAGAAAAGATCTTCCTTGGGAAGACTCTTTTCGTATAGAAAAGATCTTCATTAGAAGACTCTTTTGATATAGAAAAGATTTTCATTAGAAGACTCTTTTGATATAGAAAAGATCTTGCTTTGGAAGACTCTTTTCGTATAGAAAATATCTTGCTTTGGATGAGTCTTTTCGTATAGAAAAGATCTTGCTTTGGAAGGCTCCTTTCGTATAGAAAAAATCTTCCTTTGGTAGACTCTTCTCCCATAGAAAATAACTTCTTATGGAAGAATCTTTTCGATTAGAAAGGAGCTTTTTAAGGAAGACTATTTCGTATGAAAAACGTCTTTCTAAGGAAGTTCTTCTCTGTATGAAAAGGATCTTCACTGGGTCTTCTATTAGGGGGTGGAAAACTCATTTAGTATTGAAAAGTTCTTACGAAGACATATTATATCTCTCCCAAAAATAATCTTCTCTATACGAAAAGAGTCCGTTGGAAAGATTTCAGCAATTTTACTAAAATATAATTTAACTTCCATCCCTGACATCACACTCTACGAAACTGTCAACTTACAACTATTTTCAATTACTTGCACTCTCTTCTATGTACATTTTGCTGCAACAGAAACAACAACAAAAACTTTAATTCAAGAGTATTAAAAACTTATATTCAATTACTGGCATTTTTTTTTTCGTAAGTTTTGCAATGACTGCAGTATTCTGCACTTTTTTTTGTACTTTAACTACTTAATTAGTCATCAGAAACAATGATACAATTTGTGTGTAAGATATAGAGGAAGACAGGCTAAATAGTTATCTGTATTCGATAAATAATCAGTATTTTAGGAAAAAAATCGTTTTTTTTTTGAGAGTGGTTTTAACTTTATTTAAATAGAATTAGAACTTTTTTGAGTAAAAAAATAATTTTAATTTTCTTTTTCTTATTTTGCAGTTAACTACTAATTAAAATAGAAAAAAATGGCCCAACCACAATTGTTGCAAATTAAATTGTCCAGATTCGATGCTCAACCCTGGGGCTTTCGTCTACAAGGTGGCACTGATTTCGCTGCTCCACTTCTTGTACAAAAGGTAAGTTTTTTCTAATAAAAATTTTAATTAAAATTCTTTATAAAATAATGCTGAAAAGGAGTAACTTATTGAAGGTAAGAACAACAAAAGTTGCTTTGTAATAGCAACAAAAATTTATCTTTATTGAAGATAAGAACAACAAAAGTTGATTTGTAGTAGCAACAAAAATTTCTCTTTATTGCTCTGCTTTATGAATTAAAATTGTCTTGCGATTGCAATAAAATTTTTATTACAATAGCAGCAATATTTTTATGCTTACCACTAGCAACTAAAGTTGCTTTCTGGCAGCAACAAAAAAATCATTGAAAGTGGGAAAAATGTAGTATTTTACTAAATTAGCTTCCATTCCACTTTAGAGGTTAATTTATTTCACAGCCATACAGCTGTGTAAATAAAATCTTTCAAGTTAAAAAAAAAAACTGAAAATAAAAGTTTTACACAAAAACAATGGAAAATTCAATAATCATTTCATTTTCAATGAGAATTGGATGGAGTATTTAAGTCACAAAGTTTACAATGAAACTGAATTTGTTTATTTTGTATATTAAGTAATGTATACTGAAGTAAATAACATGACATGTTTATTTAACATTTAAAAGTAGAAATGTTAACGAAAAAGTAAAGAAAATTATTTGTAAAAATAAAAGAAGAATCATAAGTACCAAAGACTTAAGTATCTTTCGGGTTAAAAAATACTTCCTCTCTCTCTCTCTGTCATCGAATGGTCTTGAGAAAAAAGACACTTTTAGAATAGAAAAGAAACTCAACATAAACTCTTCTAATGGTAGTCTATTTTCGTAAAGTAATATAAAGTTTCTATATGAGAGATTCCTCCCATATAGGAACGGTTACGCCTGACATACTCCTTTCCCCAGAATACTCCTTTCACATTGGCTCTTTTCGTATAGAAAAGGTTTTCCCATGAGAGACTCTTTTTGGTATAGAAAAGGTCTTCCCATGAGAGACTCTTTTCTTGGAGAAAAGATTTTTCAATAAAAGACACTTTTCGTATAGAAAAGGGGATCCTCTGAGAGACTCTTCTCGTACAGAAAAATCTTTCCATGAGGGATTCTTTTCATATAGAAAAGGTCTTCACATGAGAGACTCCTTTAGTACAGCAAAGGCCTTCCCATAAGAGACTCCTTTCGTATAGAAAAGGTCTTCCCTTAGAAAACACTTTTCGTATAGAAAAGGTGTTCCTCTGAGAGACTCTCTTCGTATAATAAGGGTCTTCCTAGTACAGAAAAGGTATTCCAATAAGAGACTCCTTTCGTAAAGAAAGGGTCTTCCCATGAGGAAATCCTTTCATATACAAAAGGTTTGTTCATGAGAGACTAATTGCGTATAGAAAAGGTCTTCCCATTGTAGACTTTTTTCGTATAGAGAAGGTCTTCCTACGAAGGACTCTCTTCGTATATTAAGGTCTACTTTGAGAGACTCTTTTCATATAGAAAAAGGATTCCCATGGAAGACTCAGCTTCCCATGGAATACTTTTTAATATAGAAAAGGTGTTCCCATGAAAGACTCTTTTCTTATAAAAAGGTTTTCCCATGGAAGACCCTAATTATATAGAAATAGTCTTCCCATGAAAAACTTTTTTTATATAGAAAAAGTCTTACCATGAAAGACTCTTTTTATATAGAAAAAGTCTTCCCATGAAGGACTCTTTTTAAATAGAAAAAGTCTTCTCATGGAACACTCTTCGTATATAGAAAAAGTCTTTCCATTGAAGACTCTTTGTATATAGAAAAAGTTTTTCCATTGAAGACTCTTTTTGTATAGTAAAGGTCTTCCCATCGAAGACTCTTTCGTATAGAGAAGGACTTCCCATGGAAGACTCTTCTCATGAAAGACTCTTTTTATATAGAAAAAGTCTTCCCATGGAAGACTCTTTTTATATGGAAAAAGTCTTCCCATGGAAGACTCTTTTAATATAGAAAATGTCTCAACATGGAAGACTCGTTTTAAATAGTAAAAGTCTTCCCATGCACGTCTATTGTTATGTAGAAAAAGACCGCCCATGGGAAAGTCTTTTCATATAGAAAAGGTATTTCCATGGAATACACTTTTCATATACTAATGGTCGTCATGTCGAAGACTCTTTTAGTACAGTAAAGGTCCCATGGAGACACTTTTTGTGTAGAATACGTCTTTCTATGGAAGACTCTTTTCGTATGGAAGGGTGATACTTTCCATGGAAGACAACTTTCATATAGAAAGGGTCTTTCTATGGGAAGTCTCTTTTAGTTTAGAAAAGGTCTTCCAATAGGAAATATATTTTCCCATTTCTATAGGGTACCATTTACTCTTGTATATTCTTTAATTTGTTGCAAACAGCAAGAGCAACTAAACTTTTCTCTATAACTTTAAACAACATATAGAGTGTTCATAGCTGCTGGTAAACAAATTGCCAGCAACTGTTTAAACTCTAGTATCTAGAAATAACATACAAGTGTGTATATTTACAAAAAAAAAGAAAAACTAAATATGTCCATTATTTAAATATGAATTTATAATTAAACAAACAGAAACAACAATAATAAAGATGATAATAAAGTTAAAGTTTCTAAAGTTAAAACAGCTGTTGCTCTAGCTGAAGATGATAATGATGTTGGTGGGTTCTTCAAAAATAAATAAAGAAAACAACACCATGAGGGTAGAAGTGAAAGATTTTTTTCAAGGTTTTATTTTATATAAAAAAAAGCAAACGCAACAAAAAAAAGCTTAACAAATGTAAAACCTACTTGTTAAGGCGGCAAGAAGATGGACGGACGGACGGACATACAAACAGACATAATATGGCTGTCAAGCATAAAGATAGACAGACAGTCAACTTCTCAAACTAGCTGCAAGTCTGATAAAATAAAAAAAGAAGTACAACCTACTACAATACCCTCGTTGAAATTTTACATGGTTCACTGATGAATCAGCAAATTCTTGCTGCTGCTGCCACTTTTACACACTCTTTTAAATCAAAGAAATAAATAAAATTAATAATAATAATATAATTTTTCTGTTTACTCTGCACATATTTAGTTTTGTTTGATTTGTTTTTTTCTTATTATTCAAATATTTTTCATAATAATATTATGGTCAAAGTTACAAACTTTCAGTAGTTTTTAGTTTTTGCGCGGTGGTGTGTCAGAGAGATGGTCAAGTCAATTTGTGTGATTTTTTTTTTCAATTTTCGCTGGGAAGTGGGTTATAAATTTCTATACACATATATATGTTTTGTTTTTTAGTGAATCATATAAATAAATTTAAATAGAATTTGTTTATGACTAAATGATTTTAAAGTAGTTGCTTTAAATATATTCATACACATACATATTTATTTATGTATATGAATATCCAAATGAAATTTAAAAACAAAAAATGCTTGCAAATTTTATGGAAAAAATCACGTTTTTTTATATAGTATTTGATAGCTTAGGTAAATAAACATAGTTTATGGACTATTAAATATTTTGTTTATAAATAAATTTGTTTATTATTGATTGCTGAAATCTAAAGCTGCTTAAAGTTTGTAAGAGCAAGTTAGTCATAACTAGAGAGGGTTCTAAATATAAAAAGATTCTCTAAGTTATAGTTGTGATTTGAACTTGGCTGAAAAAATCCTTTTAATTTAATGTCAAACTTTAAAGCTCCTTTTATAAGCTATCATGGCTATTTGATTTTCCTCTTTTTTTTTTCCTCTCTTTTAAAGTTTCGTTTATAAAGCTTTCATTTGCACATATTTTTCATGGATATTGATTTCCCTTAGAATTTCATGGTAAGCTTTAAAGCTCATTTTAAAAGCTATCATAAAGTTTTCTAAACTGGAGTTTTTGGAACTTTAATTTAGTTTCATTAAAAGCTTTTACTTAGGAAAAGACTTTTAAAACATTCTTTCGAAAGGTTTGTTTGAAAAAGTTTTTATGTACACATACAAAACTTTACTTTTAGATTCATGAAAAGCTTATTTTATAAACTCTCATGGTTTTTGATTTTGACTTTTTATAATTTAATGAAAACTTTGTAGCTCATTTTAAAAGCTATCATTGCTTGTGATTGATTTACCTTAGAAAAAAGCATTTTAAAGTATCGATTATAAAGCATTCATTCCTATAAATGGGATATTCTAAAGCTTTTTTTGAAATAAGTTTTTATTTACACATACAGGATTATGGAAAGGTTTCCTAAAGTTTTATGGTAAGCTTTGAAACCCATTTTTTAAATTCCCTAGGGCTTTTAATTGATTTTCCGTAGTATTTCATTGAAGCTTTTTTCATAAAGTCTAACAGCTTTTGATAGATTTTTCTTAGAAAAAGACTTTTAAAGTATATGTATATTATAAAGCTTTCTGTCTAAAGAGGATATTTGCTTGCCATTTATAATAAAGCTTTTATTTATATAAAGCTTTGTTTCTAAAGAATATATTTTAAAGCTTCTATTTACACATACAGGACTAGGGGAGTTTTCTTTTAAGTTTCATGGTAAGCTTTGAAGCTCATTTTTTAAATTCTAAAGGACCTTAATTGATTTTCCTTAGAATTTCGTGGTAAGCTTTAAAGCGTATTTCATAAACTCAAGTTTATCCTTATAAAAAGACTTAAATTATGGGTTATAAAGCTTTACTTATAAAGAGGATATTTTAAAGCTTTTTGTTAAAAATTTTTGTATTCACACACTAATATTTTTTTTAGACTCATAGAAAGATTTGAAACTTATTTTTTAAGATTTTATGGAAAACACTGAAGCTCATTTTAAAAGCTCTAATAGCTTTTGATTGATTTTCTTTAGCAGAAGGCCTTTAAAGTATAGATTATAAAACTTTCTTTCGAAAGAAGATATTTTGAACCATTGTATGAAAAAGCTTTTTACACATATAGGATTATAGGAATTTTTTATTAAGGTGAAAAGCTTTAAAGCTTATTTCATAAACTCTCGTAGTTTTTTTTTTCCTCAGAAAAAGCCTCTTCCTTAGAAGAAGCACTACCTTTTCTTTTAGACTCATAGA